TCCTAAATCCGCCCCTGGCTACAAGTGCTATATTGTTGCTTTGGAAAAATAAGGGAGCACTATAAGAATATTAATTTAAAAACAGAAAATAAGGTTAAATTATTTATGTTTATTCTGTACAGACAGACTCTACAGCTGCAGCATAATAACCTTCCAGAATCTTCCAAAAAGCTTCTATAGAAATATTCTAGTAGCGCCTTGTAATTGACTTTTGTTTTCTATTTTTTTGTGATTAATTTCCAGAAGTTGGATTTATTTTCACAGTAATCGTCCCAAAGACTCCACCCTCATCTGGAACTGATCTCTGAGGCTTTATCTTGGGTTTCCTTTTCAAAAGGAGAAAAACTGTGAATCAGTGTGGCCTCTACCGGTCATAAAAACCGATGGATGATTAACTTCAGGCTCATTGTGTGTGTGTGTGTGTGTGTGTGTGTGTGTGTGTGTGTGTGTGTGTGTGTGTGTGTGTGTGTGTGGGTGGAGGTGCGGGTGGGCGGGGCCTGGATGGTTGCAGCTTATCTCCGCCTTTGGACTCCACAATAAGTGTCCTTAGAAGGAGAGCCTGTCAGGCTGAGAACTGGGGAGTATTTTTATTTTTGGGGGGGAAATGGGGGGGAGGGGGGCTGACTCTAGATCCTCATCCTAAAATGTAGAAAAACTTCTTTATCAAACGAAGTTTTTCGCTCAGTAAAATATTTCTGCATTTTTTACCTTCAGTATTTTAGGTAAGTTGATTTAATAAACCTTTGCTTTATTTCTGCAGATGTTTGTTTGTTGTTGTTTTTCCAGCTGTTATTTATCCTGCTTGTTTCTGACTCGCTGGGAGTTTAATCCGGACTATCAATCCTCAGCCTAATCCCTGAGTTTGTCCTGCAGGTTAATCTGCTCCAATCTGTGTCTGATCATCGCAGCGCGGCGCAGGGCGCGTCATGGAGATGCTGCGGCGCTCCTCCGTGTTTGCGGCCGAGGTGTTTGACCGATCCCCCACCGACAAGGAGCTGGTGTCCCAGGCTAAAGCTCTGTGCAGAGACTACATCCACTCCAGGCTCCACCGCGCCGGGGTCGGCTGGTCCAAAGCTGAGCAGGGAAGCGCGGCGGCGGGGGGAAAGCTGGCGGAGGTGTCCGCGGTGGTCCAGTGGCTGGGTGAGTCTGTCCCTGCTGCACCGGCGGCTCTATGCGGGGGCTAAAGGGGGCCCCCTGGAACTGGTGCTGGGGCCCCTGCAGTGGC